AGGACAAGTTGTTGTTTATTACTGACGAGAAGTGTATTAAGAACTCATTTCTTAATCCAAGGAACTAGGGAACTGAACAGATCCTGGTGGAGGAGAAAAGCATAATATAAGAGGGGGAGAAAAAGAGAGGATTATCTTTGATGGTTTTTTGGCAGATTGATGGATTAAGGAATGAAGACTGTCACTCCCAGGAACTCTGTGCCTGCTCTTTGACTTATCATTGCTTATTACAACTGAGACCCAAAATAAACCAGCCACCTTTATATTGCTGATTGCTTTATGCTTCACTATTACGTTACCAGATAAAATTGCGGGGAACCTGTAACCCGAAGTTTCTTTTGTAATGTGTATAAGATACTTCACTATACAACTTATGCATACTATCAGCAATCTACTTGAGATGACTACTGCATTCGCTTAGCTGCTAGCCAGCCTTGGTGAGCTGTTTGTTAAGAATAAGAGTAACTGCCCAAGTTAGGAGGCTGCTGTCCACGGAAACCGAAAGGAAACCATAACCAGATAAGTTATAATCATTGGTGGATTTGTCGAAACCTAGTTTGTAAGCAGTGGACTTAGCAGTGGAATGGTAGCTGATAATTTAGCACCATTTGAAAAAATGACTAATTTTGTGAATTCGGTCATCCTTCAATAAACTTCGGAGCAATCCCTTTAGTGGCCTTTACCTACTCAACTACAGGTAGGATTGGAAATAGCAAGTGAACTTTATGGGCTTATCTTCTTGTCACTCATCACATATGTTTAGCAAACTTTTGCTTTTATTCTCTTGCAATTCGATTTATATTACATCATCTAAACACCTGCTTTAGTGTGAAAAGTGCTCATTGTAAAAATTTACTGGGCCCAGCTATTGACATTTGGCAAACATTCACCCTAGTGAAGGATGTTTTTTAAGCAAGTCATCAACTTTTTTTTATTGCAATTGATGTCTTTGTGAGGAAGATCTTTGTTTTGAGATGATGTCACTAAAGTTGTCGTGCAAAGTGTTAAAGGAGGCATATGAAGATTTACTAACATGAAAGCAACTAGGAACTTCTTGGCAACTTTTCTTATTGTGCGAATTTATGATATTTTTGTGCAATAGCTATCACTTCTTCTCTGAATTCTGCATTCAAGTTGAGTTTTATCTGCAATCTAATGGAGTAAAGTCTTTTTTCGTCAGTTTTAGGGAACATTTTGGATTCAGTTCTGCCACATAATATTTTGTCAGCTTTGAGAAATCAAACGAAAGTCCATGGACACTTGAGCCATATGCCGGAAAGGCTCTCTGTAGTTCTTGATGGACACACAAGATCAGTTAATGCTGTACAGTGGTCTACAAGTCATGGTAACTGGAATCACTGCTATTGATTTTTGTTTCATATTAGTCCTTTGTTCCATATTCATATTTCCGAAATTCCTGCCTCTGATGTTGAAATAGGTTCAGAACTCCCTTGTGGTTTTCAAATCCCTTCAAATTTGACGTCACAGTGAAATGTACTGCATCACTTTATGCATTTAGTAGAATGAGACTGGACCATCAGTTTACATTGATTGCTCCAAATATTTGCTTGGGTCTTGGTGTACTTTGTATATTTACTTGTGATATCAATAAAGATGGACACTCTTTCCAAATGGGGAGATGCTTTGCCGAAAGAAGGATCAGATAGATACTTGCTTTCTTGTCCTTTACCAAAACAATAAGGAAAAGAACTAATTACTCAACTTCAAGATGAATCAAGGCTTCCTAAAAAATTTTAAAACTTTTTGGAAAAATCGAATGGCTAAAGTGAAAATGTTAGAAGTTTTGGGCCGTCCTAGGAAAAAAATGGGTTAATTTTACTCTGTTCAAAAAACATGAAGAAAAACTTTTGCTTTAGGTATTCAAAAACCAAGAATGCTTTGAAAACAAAGCTCAATAATTTTCACTTTATTACAATGATGTGAGTCAATAACTCGCTAGATTACTTAATGTAATCATTTAGTTGCGAACTTGTATTAAGTTTACTGTTTAATTTCGGATGTGTGATACTTTGATGATTCAATAGCATACTTGTATTCATGATGTTCATGTACACTATTCACCATGCAGCTCACCTTCTAGCATCTGCCGGTATGGATCAAACTGTCTGCATATGGAATGTCTGGAGCAGAGATCAGAAGAAAGCACGAGTACTTAATTGTCACCATGCGGCTGTCAAAGATGTGAAGTGGTCACCACATGGTTTATTTGTGCTCTCTTGTGGATATGACAGCACATCAAGGTTGATTGATGTTGAAAAAGGGATAGAAACTCAGGTTTTCAATGAGGATCAAGTTGTTGGAGTGGTAAAATTTCATCCAGATAATTATAATCTCTTCCTCTCTGGAGGTTCGAAAGGTCATCTTAAAATATGGGATATAAGAGCTGGGAAGGTGGTCCATCAATATGTGCGAAATCTTGGTCCTATCCTTGATGCTGAATTTACAGTTGACGCAAAGCGAATAATTTCATCTAGCGATGTATCCAAAAGCAATATTAGTGAAAATTCAATCATTGTTTGGGATATCTCACGGGAAATCCCTTTATCTAACCAGGTAAAGTTTTTCATTAATGCCTTTTGATTTGTTTTTGTATGCTTCAGGTTTTGTCATGTCATGATTTATTTAGTCATTAGGTGAAACTGTCAAAATAATATCTCCCTTCGCATTTCACGAGTGACTTTCATCATCTTAATGCTTGTGAGAAATGTTCATACAAGAGAAAAAAGTTTGAAGGTGGGCATGCATGTTTATGCAGATGCATGCCCATTAGGGAAAAAAGGAAAAAATATTCATCATGTTCCTATGTTCTGCCATGTATTGAGTCAGTGCAGAAGTCGTACATGACCTTTCCATTTCTCTAACTATTATCCAGTTGACCATCATAGTCCTTTTCCCCATGCTCCTGTCGGAGCTTCTAATCTTCTCATTCTTTCTGACGAAGGTCTCGTTCTTCTTTATTGCTCCTTCCCTTCTTTTTTTTTCTCTGCTCTTATGCAATACACGATCTCTGTATTCTTCATTTGTATATTTGTCTAAATTTAGTAGAAATTGTGCACATCCATGGGCATTAAGAAAGTGATGGATGGAGAGGTTTAACTACCAAATTGAGTGGTGGTGGACATAAATTTTATATGCAAATATCCTGAACTATGTCTTGTGTCATGTCGCACACTTCAATCGTCCACAGTTACAATCTCAAGGATGTGTCATAGCGTATATGCCAAATTATGCTAATCTGTATTGTTCTTTTTTTAAGTCTAATCTTGTGAACATATTTCAGGTTTACAGTGAAGCATATACCTGTCCCTCAATAAGATGTCACCCTTCTGATCCAAAATTCATAGCACAGTCAAATGGAAACTACATAGCAATTTTCTCTACCAAGCCTCCTTTTGGACTTGATAAGTACAGGAGATATGAAGGCCATAGTGTTTCTGGATTCCCTATAAAATGCAGTTTCAGCTTGGATGGTGAGAAAGTAATAACTGGTTCCTCTGATGGATACATTTATGTTTATGACTCGAAATCTTGTGAGCTCATCAGAAGGATCAAGGTATATGATGGAGCTTGTATCGATGTCGTCTTCCATCCTATCATGCCTAATGTTGTTGCTTCATGTAGTTGGAGTGGAGAAGTTTCAGTTGCAGTGACATAACATGTATAACTTTATGAAGGGAGCTGGAGATTGTATCAAGTTTTTTTTATGTACAGTGTGTTTTTACACATCCATGACCAAATTAAATCACTTCTTGTTTCAGATTTTATGTACAAGTATATTGTAAGGTTGAAAACCAGTAGATATGAAGAAGGTCCTGTTAAAACTAATGAAATATAATCTAATCTGATATTAATATTGACTGTTGTTACTAGACCGGGAAGTAAACAGGTATTTGGGCCAAAAAAACTTTTAATTTTCCAAAAATTTGCCTTACCTTTTTTTTTTTTTTTTTTTTGAATTCA